CCGCACTTCACCCCACACTCAGCGGCGTCGACGTCCACAGCGACACGCGCGTGCTGGTGGTCACTGTGACGTAGGTTTGGGTGGGGGGCATCCCCCCTCCCTCCCCCCCATCAACCACGACCCCTCCCCTTGGGTCAGAGAATCGCCTCCCCAGGCGTGGGGGTAGGGGCGGGGCCGAGTGTGAGCGCGGGGGAGGGGCGGGGCTGGCGCTGGGAGCGGGGGAGGGGCGGGGCTGGCGGGCAGACAGGCTAGCGGGTACCAGATGTGGGAAGGCGCCGGGAAGTCACCCCGGGACCAGCCGAGGCGGCAACACTTCTCACGCAAGCCCCCCCCCCTCCTCCTCACTCCCCTCCTCCTCACTCCCCTCCTCACTCGCTCACTCACCCCTCTACTCACTCACTCCCCTCCTCATTCGCTCACTCACTCCCCTCCTCACTCACTCACTCACCCCTCTACCACGGTCACTCACTCACTCCCCTCCTCACTCGCTCACTCACTCCCCTCCTCACTCGCTCACTCACCCCTCTACTCACTCACTCACTCCCCTCCTCACTCGCTCACTCACTCCCCTCCTCACTCGCTCACTCACCCCTCTACTCACTCACTCCCCTTCTCACTCACTCACCCCTCTACTCACTCACTCACTCCCCTCCTCACTCGCTCACTCCCTCCCCTCCTCACTCACTCACTCACCCCTCTACCACGGTCACTCACTCACTCCCCTCCTCACTCGCTCACTCACTCCCCTCCTCACTCGCTCACTCACCCCTCTACTCACTCACTCCCCTTCTCACTCACTCACCCCTCTACCACGGTCACTCACTCACTCCCCTCCTCACTCGCTCACTCACCCCTCTACTCACTCACTCACTCACTCCCCTCCTCCTCACTCACTCTCCTCTACTCACTCGCTCACTCCCCTGCTCACTCGCTCACTCTTCCCTCTACTCACTCGCTCACTCCCCTCCTCACTCACTCCCCTCTGCTCACTCGCTCACTCCCCTGCTCACTCGCTCACTCACCCCTCTACTCACTCACTTACTCCCCTCCTCACTCGCTCACTCACCCCTCTACTCACTCACTCACTCCCCTCCTCCTCACTCACTCCCCTCTACTCACTCACTCACTCCCCTCCTCACTCACTTCCTTACTCCCCTCCTCACTCGCTCATTCACCCCTCTACTCACTCACTCACTCCCCTCCTCCTCACTCACTCCCCTCTACTCACTCACTCACTCCCCTCCTCACTCACTTCCTTACTCCCCTCCTCACTCACTCACTCCCCTCCTCCTCACTCACTCACTCCCCTCCTCCTCACTCACTGACTTCCCTCCTCCTCACTCACTCACTCACCCCTCTACTCACTCCCCTCCTCCTCACTCACTCCCCTCCTCCTCACTCACTCCTCTCCTCCTCACTCACTCCCCTCGTCACTCACTCACTCACTCCCCTCGTCACTCACTCACTTACTCCCCTCCTCACTCACTCACTCACTCCCCTACTCACTCACTTCCTTACTCCCCTCCTCACTCACTCACTCCCCTCCTCCTCACTCACTCCCCTCCTCCTCCTCCTCACTCACTCACCAACCCACTCACAAACTCACTCTCCCACTCACCAACCCACTCACAAACTCACTCTCCCACTCACCAACCCACTCACAAACTCACTCTCCCACTCACCAACCCACTCACAAACTCACTCTCCCACTCACCAACCCACTCACAAACTCACTCTCCCACTCACCAACCCACTCAAAACTCACTCTCCCACTCACCAACCCACTCACAAACTCACTCTCCCACTCACCAACCCACTCACAAACTCCCTCTCCCACTCACCAACCCACTCACAAACTCCCTCTCCCACTCACCAACCCACTCACAAACTCCCTCTCTCACTCACCAACCCACTCACAAACTCACTCTCCCACTCACTAACCCACTCACAAACTCACAATCCCACTCACTCCCTTACGCACGCCCTTTCACCTCCCCTCCCTCTCACCTCCTCTCCCGACCTTCTCATCCCTCCCTCGCCTCCTCCACGACTTGAGACAGCCCAGCGCTGGGGCCGACGCGTCGTGACGTGGCCTCACGGCGGTGGAGCGCGCACAGCGAGCCCACCCAGCGGCGACACGACTACAGACACCGCCTGTGCACCACCGCTCCACCGTCCTAATACTAATAATGATGTATCATCAGGATTTGAAGAATAATATATAATTGTATACATTTGTAAGGCGCGTTTAATCTGGAGATCCCACTGCGCCACCGTGTAAGGGAAGCAGGCAGCAAACCGAACCTGCGGGCTCAACGGCAGGACGATGCGGGGGCGAAGGCCACTTTGAAGAGGCGAGTGCATCGCTCACGACTCTGTCGTCTTGTTCATTAGCGACGCAACGACCTTCAACGCCTGGGAGCTGCGCGGTGGCACAAGTCCGATGACTCCTGCAGGGACAGAGCCTTGGGCTCGGAGTGCTTAGAAGAAGGCCCCGTTGCAGAGTGAACGCGGCTCAGCTGCTGCTGCTGCTGCTACAGCAGAAGCAGCGACGTCGCCCCCGGCTGCGAAACCCGGGCAGGACCCTCCCGAGAGAGAGTCCCGAGACTCAGCGAGGCTCCCCTGGCCAGAACCATGCCCGGCCGCCTTTGTCTTCCCAGCGCCGATGATTGCATAACCCACCAAATCCTCATTTAAGGCTGAATCGACCTAGAGGAGGCGCGGTAACGGCTCAAACATTCGACCACTGTGCCACCACTCCCCACAGTGCGCTAGCCACGACACGACTCGGAAGAGCGGAGAATGGTGACAGGCACGGAGTGATAACATCGCGGGGTGGAGCGGGTTCCAGGGCGAGGAAAGAGCTCCGAGGGCAGAGCCGCGGAGCCGGCTCCGCTGGGAACCTCGGATCGCATCCAGATCGCAGTCCCAAGCACAGCGAGTACCCTCGCCTCCCATCGGCACGGTTGGCGACACACGGTGCGAAGGAAGTTCAACATACATACCATGTGTAGCGGCTTGATGGTCTTCAGCCCGGTCACCACCGACTCGCATAGAGACTCACCGATTCGCATAGACTCACCGATTCGCATAGAGACACATAGAGACACATAGAGACCCACCGACTCACATAGAGACACATAGACTCACAAGGAGACCCACGGAATCACACAGATACCCATGGGCTTGCACAGCGAGAATATCCATAGACTCGTTACGCTCTCGGCAGTGACCGTACGTAAACTCGTGGCGGTAGAAAAATCTGGGCTGTCACTCCTCGTGGATGTGTTCCTGCTTATGGTAAATTAACTTCCAGTTGCGGATCGCGGCGGCGGGGGAAGGTCTTCGTCCAGCAGTGGATAAACCATGGCCCATGATGATGAATCGTATACAGTACCTCGTATCTAGTTTAGTCTCCCTTGCTCCCCCCGCCTCCCGCCTCTGCCCCCCAGCCCCCTCCCCCCTTCCGCCCTGCCCCCCCCGTCCAAACACGTGCCGCTGCTCGCCGCTCACTCCATCCATCACGTGTCCACGCGGCCACGTGCCAGTATTGTAATAGCTGTAACCTTGATGATCACACAGCAGCTCTAACATCGGCTATTGTGACCATTGTCGCTGTTGTCGTGTTAGCTATGAGCGCGCCTGAGCTTCGTGTAGCGTGGCAGGTGGCGCGTCGACGGCAGTGGCCGCTGTGTCGAGGGCCACTCGGCGCCCTCGATCAGAAAATGTTTGGGAGTTAAATTCCTGGTGGAGGCATGGGTTGACTCAGCCCACCATCACCCAGTCTTTCCTTCCGGGGGTCGGTAAAATACATACCATTTTGTGGGAAACATCAAGTGGTGGTCCTTTGGAGAGACTCCATCACCCCCCGCCATATGAATGTGGAATGTCCACCACTTGCTCTGCAGGGCTGTCAGCGCGAGATGAGCACCGTGCGAGTAGGAAGTCACTCTGACTTTACTTCTTCGACTCGCATTCAAACAATGATAACGGAACAGGGGGTGAAGGCAGCGTGGAGATGGAGCGCTGTGCGAGAAGCCTGCTGGACGGTGGCATCGCGTGACGGCGACACAGACTGCTCGGGGAGGTCTTCACCCAGCAGTGGATAGGTGGCGGCTGATGCATCGCCAGGCGAGGGGTCGGCGTCTTACGCAGAGATCTTTGTTCCCTAGGGGCTCTGCGGGGCTCGGGAGGTGGCTAGCCGGGAGGTGGTGGTGGCCCACGCTGCTGCACGTGGTCTGTGTAACCCAGCGTGCTGGAGGGTTGGTGGATCACACACAGACGGGGTGTGACACCCCCTTCACGTGGGTGGGCGTAGAGGAGGAGCCGTAGCCTCGCTCGCCAGGACAAGGCGGTACAGCAAGTGGGATCATCGACATGTGTTTATTTCATCTGTACGGGGATACAGTGTTTCCCCCTCGCTCAAGGCATGCGGTTATCTGCGGGTGCTCCGGTTTCCTCCCCACGTGAATAATAATAATAATAAACACGACTCGCCATGAATTGGCTGAAATCGAATAAACAAAAACTACGTAGCAGCAGGAGCCTCCTGAAAAACGATAGTCCCTTGACTCAGTGGGCGTGTCGTGGATAAATGAGCAAACTTATGAATCGAAGTAAATCAGTGAAGTGGGTTGCTGATGCGTCTCTACGTACTTCCGAGTGGTACCGTGTTGTTCTTGAGTGGGCGTGGAGTGAGTGCTGAGTGATGTTGAGCCAGTGAATCAGAGCTGAGTGTCGTGGCTTCACTGATGCCGGACCTCAACTCCCACTATCCCCTCCCCCCTCTCTGTTCAAGATGTCTACCTTATACGGCTAAACGATGCTCTTGTGTTGCTTCTGGTCAGCATTCGCATGGATGTTAACACGCGAAACGTCCCTTCTCTCTGCCCTCTTTTTATACCACCATCTCTCTGCACCCCCCACCTCTCTCTCTCTGCACTCCCCCCCACCTCTCTCTCTGTACCCCCCTCCCCACCTCCCTCTGCCCTGGCCTCCAGGTGAGGCCCTGGGCTCGGAGCAGGCCAAGAGGCGACGCAAGCAGCGGCGGAACCGCACGACGTTCAACAGCGCGCAGCTCGCGGCGCTGGAGCGCGTGTTCGAGCGCACGCACTACCCGGACGCGTTCGTGCGCGAGGAGCTGGCGCGGCGCGTCAACCTCAGCGAGGCGCGCGTGCAGGTTGGGGGGGGGGGGTAGAGGGAGGGGGGGGTGACGAGAAAGGGGGCAGGGGGGTAGGAAGGAGCATAGGTGATACATCTGCCAGTCATCACGGTCAGTCAAACCATGGCACCTGGGTCCGTCCCGTGACCTGTCAGCAGCGAGCCTTCGATTCTTCACGTGGCCTCAAAGTGCACCTGGCCTGGCACAGGCGCCGTGGTGACATCACTGCCACTTAGGGGCCATCCATAAAGGACGTCACGCACCTAGGGGGGGGGGGGGGGTCAGACATTTGTGACGATGTGTGACGAGGGGAGGGGGTTTGAGAAATGTGACGTCACATCAAAATGTGCAACTTTAAATAAATATAGACAACACGTTCTACTTAATTAAATTGACTTTTTGATAAATGTTTTCTCCTACAACATCAGAGTGCAGCGGCACATTAAATACGCACTACAATGACAATAGTTTATAGCGATTTGAAGCATGTTTTTTTTGGGGGAGGGGCAGAGCTTTGTGACGTAATATTTGAGGGGGGGTCTGACTTTTTGTTACGCCGTGTGACGAGGGGGGGGGGGGGTCAAAAATCGTATAAAATCGCGTGACGTCATTTATGGACGGCCCCTTAGTGGCGAATGGCGGCTGTTGTCTCCATGTGGCGCACGTGTGTGTGTCTCCACGTGTGTGTGTATCTCTGCGTGTGTGTGTCTCCGCGTGTGTGTGTCTCCACGTGTGTGTGTCTCCACGTGTGTGTGTTTCCACGTGTGTGTGTCTCCACGTGTGTGTGTGTCCGCGTGTGTGTGTATCTCCGCGTGTGTGTGTTTCCACGTGTGTGTGTCTCCACGTGTGTGTGTGTGTCTCCACGTGTGTGTGTCTCCGCGTGTGTGTGTTTCCACGTGTGTGTGTCTCCACGTGTGTGTGTGTCCGCGTGTGTGTGTATCTCCACGTGTGTGTGTCTCCACGTGTGTGTGTGTCTCCACGTGTGTGTGTGTCTCCACGTGTGTGTGTGTCTCCACGTGTGTGTGTGTCTCCACGTGTGTGTGTGTCTCCGCGTGTGTGTGTGTCTCCGCGTGTGTGTGTGTCTCCGCGTGTGTGTGTGTCTCCACGTGTGTGTGTGTCTCCACGTGTGTGTGTCTCCACGTGTGTGTGTGTCTCCACGTGTGTGTGTCTCCGCGTGTGTGTGTGTCTCCACGTGTGTGTGTGTCTCCACGTGTGTGTGTCTCCACGTGTGTGTGTGTGTCTCCGCGTGTGTGTGTGTCTCCGCGTGTGTGTGTGTCTCCGTGTGTGTGTGTGTCTCCACGTGTGTGTGTCTCCACGTGTGTGTGTGTCTCCACGTGTGTGTGTCTCCACGTGTGTGTGTGTCTCCACGTGTGTGTGTGTCTCCACGTGTGTGTGTGTCTCCACGTGTGTGTGTGTCTCCACGTGTGTGTGTGTCTCCACGTGTGTGTGTGTCTCCGCGTGTGTGTGTCTCCGCGTGTGTGTGTCTCCACGTGTGTGTGTGTCTCCGCGTGTGTGTGTATCTCCGCGTGTGTGTGTCTCCACGTGTGTGTGTGTCTCCACGTGTGTGTGTGTCTCCACGTGTGTGTGTCTCCACGTGTGTGTGTCTCCACGTGTGTGTGTATCTCCACGTGTGTGTGTATCTCCACGTGTGTGTATCTCCACGTGTGTGTGTCTCCACGTGTGTGTGTGTCTCCACGTGTGTGTGTCTCCACGTGTGTGTGTCTCCACGTGTGTGTGTGTGTCTCCACGTGTGTGTGTGTCTCCACGTGTATGTATCTCCACGTGTGTGTGTGTCTCCACGTGTGTGTGTGTCTCCACGTGTGTGTGTGTCTCCACGTGTGAGTGTGTCTCCACATGTGTGTGTGTGTCCACGTGTGGGTGTGTCTCCACGTGTGTGTGTGTCTCCACGTGTGTGTGTGTCTCCACGTGTGAGTGTGTCTCCACGTGTGTGTGTCTCCACGTGTGTGTGTGTCTCCACGTGTGTGTGTATCTCCACGTGTGTGTGTCTCCACGTGTGTGTGTGTCTCCATGTGTGTGTGTGTCTCCACGTGTGTGTGTCTCCACGTGTGTGTGTCTCCACGTGTGTGTGTCTCCACGTGTGTGTGTATCTCCACGTGTGTGTGTCTCCACGTGTGTGTGTGTCTCCACGTGTGTGTGTGTCTCCACGTGTGTGTGTCTCCACGTGTGTGTGTCTCCACGTGTGTGTGTGTCTCCACGTGTGTGTGTGTCTCCACGTGTGTGTGTCTCCACGTGTGTGTGTCTCCACGTGTGTGTGTGTCTCCACGTGTGTGTGTGTGTCTCCACGTGTGTGTGTGTCTCCACGTGTGTGTGTGTCTTCACGTGTGTGTGTCTCCGCGTGTGTGTGTGTCTCCGCGTGTGTGTGTGTCTCCACGTGTGTGTGTGTCTCCACGTGTGTGTATCTCCACGTGTGTGTGTCTCCACGTGTGTGTGTGTCTCCACGTGTGTGTGTGTGTCCACGTGTGTGTGTGTCTCCGCGTGTGTGTGTGTCTCCGCGTGTGTGTGTGTCTCCACGTGTGTGTGTGTCTCCGCGTGTGTGTGTGTCTCCGCGCGTGTGTGTGTCTCCGCGCGTGTGTGTGTCTCCGCGCGTGTGTGTGTCTCCGCGTGTGTGTGTGTCTCCGCGTGTGTGTGTGTCTCCGCGTGTGTGTGTGTGTCCGCGTGTGTGTGTGTCTCCGCGTGTGTGTGTGTCTCCGCGTGTGTGTGTGTCTCCGCGTGTGTGTGTGTCTCCGCGTGTGTGTGTGTCTCCGCGTGTGTGTGTCTCCACGTGTGTGTGTGTCTCCACGTGTGTGTGTCTCCACGTGTGTGTGTGTCTCCGCGTGTGTGTGTCTCCGTGTGTGTGTGTCTCCGCGTGTGTGTGTCTCCGCGTGTGTGTGTCTCCGCGTGTGTGTGTCTCCGCGTGTGTGTGTGTCTCCGCGTGTGTGTGTTTCCACGTGTGTGTGTGTCTCCACGTGTGTGTGTGTCTCCACGTGTGTGTGTCTCCACGTGTGTGTGTGTCTCCGCGTGTGTGTGTGTCTCCGCGTGTGTGTGTGTCTCCGTGTGTGTGTGTGTCTCCACGTGTGTGTGTCTCCACGTGTGTGTGTGTCTCCACGTGTGTGTGTCTCCACGTGTGTGTGTCTCCACGTGTGTGTCTCCACGTGTGTGTGTGTCTCCACGTGTGTGTGTCTCCACGTGTGTGTGTCTCCACGTGTGTGTGTGTCTCCACGTGTGTGTGTGTCTCCACGTGTGTGTGTGTCTCCGCGTGTGTGTCTCCGCGTGTGTGTGTCTCCGCGTGTGTGTGTGTCTCCGCGTGTGTGTGTATCTCCGCGTGTGTGTGTATCTCCGCGTGTGTGTGTCTCCACGTGTGTGTGTGTCTCCACGTGTGTGTGTGTCTCCACGTGTGTGTGTGTCTCCACGTGTGTGTGTCTCCACGTGTGTGTGTATCTCCACGTGTGTGTGTCTCCACGTGTGTGTGTCTCCACGTGTGTGTGTCTCCACGTGTGTGTGTCTCCACGTGTGTGTGTGTCTCCACGTGTGTGTGTGTCTCCACGTGTATGTATCTCCACGTGTGTGTGTGTCTCCACGTGTGTGTGTGTCTCCACGTGTGAGTGTGTCTCCACGTGTGTGTGTGTCTCCACGTGTGTGTGTGTCTCCACGTGTGTGTGTGTCTCCACGTGTGTGTGTGTCTCCACGTGTGAGTGTGTCTCCACGTGTGTGTGTCTCCACGTGTGTGTGTGTCTCCACGTGTGTGTGTATCTCCACGTGTGTGTGTCTCCACGTGTGTGTGTGTCTCCACGTGTGTGTGTGTCTCCACGTGTGTGTGTCTCCACGTGTGTGTGTCTCCACGTGTGTGTGTATCTCCACGTGTGTGTGTCTCCACGTGTGTGTGTATCTCCACGTGTGTGTGTGTCTCCACGTGTGTGTGTGTCTCCACGTGTGTGTGTCTCCACGTGTGTGTGTCTCCACGTGTGTGTGTGTCTCCACGTGTGTGTGTGTGTCTCCACGTGTGTGTGTGTCTCCACGTGTGTTTGTCTCCACGTGTGTGTGTGTCTCCACGTGTGTGTGTGTGTCCACGTGTGTGTGTGTCTCCACGTGTGTATGTGTCTCCACGTGTGTGTGTCTCCGCGTGTGTGTGTGTCTCCGCGTGTGTGTGTGTCTCCACGTGTGTGTGTGTCTCCACGTGTGTGTGTCTCCACGTGTGTGTGTGTCTCCACGTGTGTGTGTGTCTCCACGTGTGTGTGTGTCTCCGCGTGTGTGTCTCCGCGTGTGTGTGTCTCCGCGTGTGTGTGTGTCTCCGCGTGTGTGTGTATCTCCGCGTGTGTGTGTCTCCACGTGTGTGTGTGTCTCCACGTGTGTGTGTGTCTCCACGTGTGTGTGTGTCTCCACGTGTGTGTGTCTCCACGTGTGTGTGTATCTCCACGTGTGTGTATCTCCACGTGTGTGTGTCTCCACGTGTGTGTGTCTCCACGTGTGTGTGTCTCCACGTGTGTGTGTCTCCACGTGTGTGTGTGTGTCTCCACGTGTGTGTGTGTCTCCACGTGTGTGTGTCTCCACGTGTGTGTGTGTCTCCACGTGTGTGTGTGTCTCCACGTGTATGTATCTCCACGTGTGTGTGTCTCCACGTGTGTGTCCCGTGTGTGTTCTCCACGTGTGAGTGTGTCTCCACGTGTGTGTGTGTCTCCACGTGTGTGTGTGTCTCCACGTGTGTGTGTGTCTCCACGTGTGTGTGTGTCTCCACGTGTGTGTGTGTCTCCACGTGTGTGTGTCTCCACGTGTGTGTGTGTCTCCACGTGTGTGTGTATCTCCACGTGTGTGTGTCTCCACGTGTGTGTGTGTCTCCACGTGTGTGTGTGTCTCCACGTGTGTGTGTCTCCACGTGTGTGTGTCTCCACGTGTGTGTGTATCTCCACGTGTGTGTGTCTCCACGTGTGTGTGTATCTCCACGTGTGTGTGTGTCTCCACGTGTGTGTGTGTCTCCACGTGTGTGTGTCTCCACGTGTGTGTGTCTCCACGTGTGTGTGTCTCCACGTGTGTGTGTGTGTCTCCACGTGTGTGTGTGTCTCCACGTGTGTTTGTCTCCACGTGTGTGTGTGTCTCCACGTGTGTGTGTGTGTCCACGTGTGTGTGTGTCTCCACGTGTGTGTGTGTCTCCACGTGTGTGTGTCTCCGCGTGTGTGTGTGTCTCCGCGTGTGTGTGTGTCTCCACGTGTGTGTGTGTCTCCACGTGTGTGTGTCTCCACGTGTGTGTGTCTCCACGTGTGTGTGTGTCTCCACGTGTGTGTGTGTGTCCACGTGTGTGTGTGTCTCCGCGTGTGTGTGTGTCTCCGCGCGTGTGTGTGTCTCCACGCGTGTGTGTGTCTCCACGCGTGTGTGTGTCTCCGCGCGTGTGTGTCTCCGCGCGTGTGTGTGTCTCCGCGCGTGTGTGTGTCTCCGCGTGTGTGTGTGTCTCCGCGTGTGTGTGTGTGTCCGCGTGTGTGTGTGTGTCCGCGTGTGTGTGTGTCTCCGCGTGTGTGTGTGTCTCCGCGTGTGTGTGTGTCTCCGCGTGTGTGTGTGTCTCCGCGTGTGTGTGTGTCTCCGCGTGTGTGTGTGTCTCCGCGTGTGTGTGTGTCTCCGCGTGTGGTGTCTCCGCGTGTGTGTGTCTCCGCGTCTCCGCGTGTGTGTGTCTCCACGTGTGTGTGTGTCTCCGCGTGTGTGTGTCTCCGCGTGTGTGTGTCTCCGCGTGTGTGTGTCTCCGCGTGTGTGTGTCTCCGCGCGTGTGTGTGTCTCCGCGCGTGTGTGTGTCTCCGCGCGTGTGTGTGTCTCCACGCGTGTGTGTGTCTCCACGCGTGTGTGTGTCTCCACGCGTGTGTGTGTCTCCACGCGTGTGTGTGTCTCCACGCGTGTGTGTGTCTCCACGCGTGTGTGTGTCTCCACGCGTGTGTGTGTCTCCACGCGTGTGTGTGTCTCCACGCGTGTGTGTGTCTCCACGCGTGTGTGTGTCTCCACGTGTGTGTGTGTGTCTCCACGTGTGTGTGTGTGTCTCCACGTGTGTGTGTCTCCACGTGTGTGTGTGTCTCCACGTGTGTGTGTATCTCCCCGTGTGTGTGTCTCCGCGTGTGTGTGTGTCTCCGCGTGTGTGTGTGTCTCCGCGTGTGTGTGTGTCTCCACGTGTGTGTGTGTCTCCACGTGTGTGTGTGTCTCCACGCGTGTGTGTGTCTCCACGCGTGTGTGTGTCTCCACGCGTGTGTGTGTCTCCACGCGTGTGTGTGTCTCCACGCGTGTGTGTGTCTCCACGCGTGTGTGTGTCTCCACGCGTGTGTGTGTCTCCACGCGTGTGTGTGTCTCCACGTGTGTGTGTGTCTCCACGTGTGTGTGTGTCTCTACGTGGCTCAGGTGTGTGTGTGTGTGTATTCCCCAGGTGTGGTTCCAGAACCGCCGCGCCAAGTTCCGGCGGAACGAGCGCGCGCTGCTGGCCACGCGCAGCGCAGGCCGCGTGTTTGCCGCGAGCGGCGAGGCCGCCGTCGAGCAGCCGATGGCCGCCCGGCCTGCGCCCCTCGCGGCGCCCGACTTCCTCTCCTGGCCTCCCGCCTCGGCCGCATCCTACGGGTATCGCGGGGGGGAGGGGGAGTGGGGTGGGGGGTGAGAGATCCCATTCTTACCCTATCCCCACCACCTCCATTGCTCACTCACCAACTCACTCATTCCCTACATTCATCCCTCCCCCATTCATCTACCACCTCCCTCACTGACCCACTCACTCCCCAACTCCCTCCCTACATCCATCTCCACTGCAACCCTATATCCATCCTTCCCTTCTCTCCATCCATCGCTCCCTCCACCCTATTACTGTACGCCTCCCTTCCCTGCATACCTCATTCCCATGTCCCTGCGTGTCCCCGCGTGTCCCCGTGTCCCCGCGCGGTCGTCTCACCGCGTGTCTCCGCGTCTCAGGGCCATGTCCGCGTACAGCTCTGGCGGCGCGGTCAGCGGCCCGGGCCCTGGGGTGCACATGGCGAGCAGCATCGCGAGCCTGCGCCTCAAGGCCAAGGAGTACAGCCTGCAGCGCAACCAGGTGTCCACCGTCAACTGACAGCGCGCCGGGCGGACGACCGGGCTGCTGGGGAAACTGGGGGACAGACAGATGGACAACCGGGAGGGCACATGGACAATTGAGAAGACAGACACAGACAGAGACAGGCAGCCAAACAAGCAGGTGGACAATTACTTTGACAGCCACACCAACCAGGCAACCAAGAACATTACGGATGGACAGGTGGACAACTGGGTGATCACGTGTCCAATCAAGTGTCAGAGACACTGGGTGACCACGTGTTCAATCAAGTGTCAGAGACACTGGGTGACCACGTGTCCAATCAAGTGTCAGAGACACTGGGTGACCACGTGTCCAATCAAGTATCAGAGACACTGGGTGACCACGTGTCCAATCAAGTGTCAGAGACACTGGGTGACCACGTGTCCAATCAAGTGTCAGAGACACTGGGTGACCACGTGTCCAATCAAGTGTCAGAGACACTGGGTGACCACGTGTCCAATCAATTGTCAGAGACACTGGGTGACCACGTGTCCAATCAAGTGTCAGAGACACTGGGTGACCACGTGTCCAATCAAGTGTCAGAGACACTGGGTGACCACGTGTCCAATCAAGTGTCAGAGACACTGGGTGACCAGGGGACAACCAGGGAGACAGGTGGACAACTGGGGAGCTAAACGAGCAGGTGTCTACCATCAGCTGACGACAACACCAGACAAGCAAGCAACCGGCAACTAGGAAACCGGGCAACCGAGCTACCAGGGGTCAACTCGGAGGACAACCGGACAGACAGGCAGCCAAGCAACCAGGCAACCAGGCAACAGGTGCCCACTAAGCTACCAAGCAACCAGGAAACTCCCCATGCAGTCAGCCATCCAGCCAGCCAACCTCCTATCCCACCAGTCATGCATCCACCCATGGGGTGGAGTGGACGGCCAGAGGAGATTCGTTAGAGAATTAAGGAGTCTCTGTGTGAGTCTGCGGGTCTCCATGTGAGTCCATGTGTCTCTGTGTGAGTCTGTGACTGGGGGAAAGAGTGTCCCATCCCTCACATTATCGATTGTCGTTGCCCAACCACGCACACTTTAGTAATCCGGCCAAGGAATGGAATGCGTTCGAGGGGACGTTCACCGAGGAAACGGAGCGACGAAATCAGTCCGTGGTGAGGTGCTCAATGGATTGTTGCATCGTGAGGATGGTGAGAGGCGGTGATGGCTTGAGCAGGCCTTCATCCGGCAGAGGACACAACATGGCCGATGATGACAACGACATAGAAGCCCTCATGGCAAACCCAACGCACAACCTGACGGGAATGCGATCCCTTCCGTCCGGTGCCACACCAAGTCGAGAGGAGATGAGTTGAGTGCGCTGATGGGGGCGCCTCTGTCTCGCCTGCAGAGGGAAGGAGCCGCCCACCCCCCTCCCGGACACGCAGAGGGACCCCGAGAAATCTCTGCGCCCCCCCCCCCCCCCCCAAGAGTCCCTAAGACGCCCCCTCTCTGAGGTTTCAACAAAGTCCAGGCGAGCTCCACCGAGAAGAGGACCATGTACAGATGTTTACTCCGTACTATTGATTTAACTCTTGATGCTGTTGTTTATTGTTGTTTATGATGAATATTTTTGTATGACTTGACCTTTAATAAGAAACTCAAAGCTGACCCTCACTTGTGATGATGATAGTGAAGATGATCATGGTACTTGTGATGATGATAGTGAAGATGATCATGGTACTTGTGATGATGATAGTGAAGATGATCATGGTACTTGTGATGATGATAGTGAAGATGATCATGGTACTTGTGATGATGATAGTGAAGATGATCATGGTGCTTGTGATGATGATAGTGAAGATGATGATGGTACTTGTGATGATGACAGTGAAGATGACCATGGTGCTTGTGATGATGATAGTGAAGATGATCATGGTACTTGTGATGATGATAGTGAAGATGATCATGGTGCTTGTGATGATGATAGTGAAGATGATAATGGTGCTTGTGATGATGACCCTGATGATACCTGTCATGGTGTGTGTAATGATGATATCGGTGATAATGATGATGTATGTGATGTCATTGTTAATTATGCTAATGTATGTGATAATGCGGTAGTAATGATGATGATGATGTCTTATAATAATGGTGACGCATGTGATGATGATGATAACTGTGATGATGCTGCTGATGTATCTGATGAGGATGTATGCTGATGATGTTCGTGACGATATCTGTGAAGGTGATGTATGTGATGTATGTGATGTTTCATAATGATGATGGCAATAAGCGGGGTGATGACGGTGCCCGTGATGATGATGATCTCGATGGGTTACAGCCCGTTCTCTCCGTCCGCGGTGTAACGGCGCTGTACACGTGAGGTGAAGCCAATAAAGTCCCTACATTACGCCTTACGGACCGCTTTCCCGGATCTTCCCGAATTTCCCTGTTCCTTCCCTGCCCTTCCCAACCCTTCGTTACCCTTCATGGCTCTTCACGGTCCTTCCTGAGTCTTCACAGTTCTTCCCTTCATGGATATCCCCGCCTCTTCCCCGAGCCACGCTCTCTCTGCAAATGACTCATCAACCTCCGGTAGGGTCAACCTACCAGGGAAACGACTGGAAATGCGATTGGCTGCGATTCCACATTCATATGGCGGGGGCCAGGACATCTAAAGGATGACCCAATGTTGACATTTGTGCGAAACAGGGCTGCTCATTTTCCCGCAATGAATGCTGATGCTACTGCTGATGCCTGTGATTATTATCATTTCGCTGCTGCTGCTGCTGCTGCTGCTTATGATGATGCTTGTGATGTATGTGATTATGATAACGCTGCTGCTGCGTATGATATCGCCGACTGCTGCGTGTGTCATTGATGATGATGATGATCTCGTTGCTAAGTGACCCCCGTACCGCGACTGACCGCATTAACGCTCGCACACGTGATAACTGCGACCACCTGCGATAGCAGTACAGCAGGTAGGTTGTTGCTGCAGAGGACACCAGACCGCACACGATACGAGTGAGAAGCGTGTAATGTGGGGGGGCGGGATTCCGTGTCCTGTCGGCCGGCTCGAGAGAGACCTCGGAGGTGAATGCGTCCCGGTTCGAGCCCCGTTGCTGTTCACTCGGCGGCCGCCAGAGGGCGCCACTGCCCCGGGTGACCACGCCGGGAGGAGCGAACCACGTCAAGAACTCCGTTTCGTGTCCTCCACATCACCAATCATCATCGGCGATGGTCTATCCACTGCTGGGTGAAGGCCACCCCAAGCCGTCGACACCTCTCGCAGTCTCGCGATGTTGCCACGCGTCTCGCTGCTGCCCGCGAGCTGATTCCATGGCTCCGTCTCCGCCGTGAGCGCCCCCTCGAGCGTGACCTCCGTGTCTCTCCGCTTTGGCTGCCACTCTGTCGTTAGCGGCCACCGTCCCCGCTGAGCCGTCACGTGTCCGGCCCAAAGCCACTCACTTCTCTAAACAGCCAACGCGGTGATCTTTATAATTGGGTCAGGTCACGTTAAGTAAAATGTGAGTCGTGCACCCTCCTCCACCCGACGCAGACAACGAAGTTGAAGAACTGTTACTTCGCTCCTCTTACTCTTTGGTTCTTTCGGTAAAGTCACGTGATCCCTGCAGTCACGAAAACTTCAAATCGAGATTCGCTCCTCTCGTCTCGTTAGAGGCGTGGCCAGCCATGGGGGCGTGGCCTGGCTGGGCGCGACTTCCTGATTCGCTGCCGAGGAGGGAGTGAGGGGGCGTGTCCATGACGGACGTCGTGGATGGGCGGGGTCAGGGCGAGGAGGGCGGGGTCAGGGCGAGGAGGGCGGGGTCAGGGCGAGTCCGGTAAACGCCTCGTCTGGCGAGCCTGCGTTGGCAATGATGTGCAAGCACAAACAACTCAACAACCACAAACAACAACTCAACACAAACGACAACACAACATACTCTCAGTTCTTTCGGTAAAGTCACGTAGGTAAAAAAATGAAATTCAAATAAATAAAAATAAAATATTAATTTTAATTTTATTTTTTTACCTACGTGACTTTACCGAAAGAACTGAGAGTATGAATCCTTGCAGTCACGAAAGCTTCAAATCGAGAAAAGGCAACACAACAGCCACATGCCGCTGAGGGGCGTGGCCAACTGTCAAAGGGGTGTGGTCTACTTTAGGGGGCGTGGCCAGTGCGTGGTGAAAGGACTGCAAGCAACGGCCGCGGACAGTTGCAGGGGGTGGGGTGTGGCCAACCGGAAAGGGGGCGTGGCCAGCTATGGTGGGGGCGTGGCCAGACGCGAAGGGGGCGTGGTCTCGCTCCCGTCGTGCTGCTCGCGCAAATGGCGCCGTTTGAACGGGGCCCGATTCCGTCTCCCGCGCAGCTGCCTCAGCGCAGCCGCCACTCGCCGTAAACAAAACTTCTCGCCTCTCACTCAACTCCGAGCCGGAATCGCTCTGCGCCTCTCGTCATCTATAAAAAGAAACATTCATCACCGTCTCTGGAGTTTGATGGGAGGGAGGAAGACGGAGGTGCAGGATACGCGGAGCCATGGACTCGGTTGTGGGAGACGACCCCAGCCTGCCCGGGGACCTGAGGTGCGGCTCCGCGTGGCTCTGTGTCGTGGATGGGTCTCTGTTGTCTTATGTCTTTGTGTACTTTCACGTGGCTCTACAAGGGCTCCGTGTGGCTTCGTGAGCCCCCTTGTTGCGACTCCACGCGGCCCCACGTCGTGCCGTGCGGCTCCGTGTGTTGCCCATCGGTGTGTAATTGTGTGAACCCCAGTCGGTTCGTGCTCCGTGTAACACGTGCACGCTTGGGCGACCAGTGTTATGATTCGTAATTGAGTGTTGGGTCCTATCGCGAAAATAAATGCGTGTCGTAAACCCTCCTCCACCCGACACAAGTTGTCACGTGACGTACACACGCCCCAATGTTGATGTTGCAGAGCGATCCACACACATTTGACAATTGTGCAGGGACGGGCTGCTGGGAGCCTTGGGCCTTGCGTATACTTTGTAAGTTGGCTGTGTCGGGTGGAGGAGGGTTTACGACACATTTTATTGACCCAAAAATAAAAAGACAGTAACGT